CCCAAGAGCAGCTGCTGTGTGGGTTTAAAACCTCAACATTTTGGTTAGCAGTCAAACCCACTGCTATCGAGTTGGATCTGACTCATAGTGACCCCTCCTTGGGTTTCAGAGGCAGTATCACTACGGAAGAAGATTGCCCAACCTTCCTTCCGAGGAGTGGCTGGTGGGATTGAACCTCCAGCCTTCTGGTTAGCAGTCAAATGCCTTAGGCACTATGCCACCAGCAAACCCCAAACCAAACCCACTGCTATTAAGTCGATTCTGACTCACAGCGCCCCTAGAGGGCAGAGTAGAACTGCCCTGGAGGGTTTTCCGGGCTGTGATCTTTACGGGTACACATTGCCAGGTCTTTCTTCTGCAGAGCCTCCAGGCGGGTTTGAACCACTAGCCTTTCATTTCATAGCTGAACCCTTAACTGCTGCACTACTAAGGTTCCTTATTTGGGTAAATAACACTCCCCAGTTTCCAAACTCTGTTTCTCACCATGAGTGGTGTGAGAGAGAAGGAAGTATCTCTGAAGACAGGCTTTGCATGTGATCAGTATCTGTCCAGGCTCAGGGAAGCCGACTGGCTCCAGAGTGGAGATACTGTATGATGGGGCAGCTCTGGTAGCATAGTGCCTAAGACATTTGACTGCTAACCAGAAGGCTGGTGGTTCAAACCCACCAGCCACTCCTTGGAAGGAAGGTTGGGCAATCTACTTCTGTAGAGATACCACTTCGGAAACCCCAGGAGGGGTCTCTATGTGTCAAATCAACTCGAGGGCAGTGAGCTTGGTTTTTTGGTTTGGTGTATGACTGTGGATCTTTTGCCAGCTCTGGGTTCAGTGACACCAGGTCAGTGGTGTTGTTAGTGGCCATGATGTTGACTCTAACGCATGGTGACCTCACACACAACTGAACACAATGCTAACTGGTCCTGCAGGGCACAGGGCCTCGTCTGTGAGTCCCAGGCCAGCTACTGAGGGACCAACATCAAGGGGAAATTAGGGGGTGATGACTAGTGAGACATCAGGAGCCAGGGATGAGTGACAGGCTGGTGAAGGGAAACAGACAAGAGTGCAGCCTTCCATGGACGTGCTCTGTGGTGTTAGACACAGATCCTCCTCCAGAGGCTAGGCTCTGCCTTCACCCAGGAGCCTTCTCCTTCCTGCCTGCTTCCTTTCTACCCTTCATGCTGAAGCCAAAGGTCACTGACCCCCAATCCCAGCACAGTGGCTGCTGCCATATACGGTTACACATCTGTTTATTTATCCAAGGACTTCCTGGGAGGTACAAACGGTCAACACACTTGGTTGCTCACCAGACAGTTGGAGGTTCAAGTCCACACAGAGGTGCCACGGAAGAAAGACCTGCAACCTATTTCTGCAAAATCAGCCCCTGAAAACCCTACTCTGTCACACACGAGGTCACCAGGATCAGAGGAGACTCGACGGCCATTGGTTACTATGGTGCTATAGCTGGTTTTATATCTAAGATTATAAAACGTTTCTAGCCTTTGCCTGGTAGCATAGTACCTAAGGCATTTGACTGCTAACCAGAAGCCTGATGGTTCAAACCCACCAGCCACTCCTGGAAAGAAAGGTTGGACAATCTACTTTCATAGTGATAGTGCCTCAGAAACCCAAGGAGGGGTCGTTATGAGTCGGGTCTGACTCGATGGCAAATAACAACAGCAACAAGCCTTTGCCTCTGTAATTCTGGCTTATTGAGTCTGTCTATGAGATTGGAATGTGTTTAACAAATGATTAATGCAATACTTATGAAGACCGTATTGTTGTTGTTGTTATGTGCCGTTGAGTTGGACCGGACTCATAGCTGAAGACCGGATACCAACATGAAAAACGTGAGTGGTTGTATATTCACTGTGATGAGGGCTGTGAGCATAGCCAGCTGTATAAGCCCAGCGTGGACAAGGGCAGAGAGGAAGACAGGCTTGGTGACTGACTTCTGAAAGTCAGTCAGCAAACACCCCAGCCGGCAGTTCAGTCCGTTACCGATCATGGAGCTGGTGCAGGCCCCGGCCCTGCTTTGTTCTGTTATGTGTGGGGTCACCATGGGTCGCGGGCTGACTTGACAACAGCCAACAACAAACAGGTTTGGAGGGTGGTGGCTGTTGGTGGATGCGATTGAGTCGATTCTGACTTCTAATAGCCCCAAGTGGAACTACCCCGTAGGGTTTTCTAGACTGTGATCTTTGTGGGAGCAGATTACCAGGTCTTTTTCCCCTTGGAGCCACTGGATGGGTTCAAACTGCTGACCTTTCTCTTAGCTGTTGGATGCTTAATGTTGCGCCACCAAGACTCCCTGGGTGGTGGAGACATAAGTTAATGCATTCGGCGGCCAGCCTTGAAGGGTTGGCACTTTCAGTCTGCCCAGAGGCACCTCGGACGGCAGGCCCGGTAGTCTACTTCTGAAAACCCTACAAAGCACCATTCCACTCTGGCACGCATGGGGGCGCCATGGGGTGGAATCGATTTGACGGCAACTAGTGGCGGAGGAGCTCTGATGGCGCTGAGGTTAGAGCATTCAGCTGCTAACCAGAAGGTCGGCAACTGGAACCCACAGGAGAGAGATGAGGCAGTCTGCTTCCATAAAATATTTGTTGTTCTTGTTAGGTGCTGTCAAGTTGTCTCTGACTCATAGCGAGTTTTGTTCTGTACAGCAGAACCAAACTGCCCGGTCCTGGGCCAGCCACACAATCCTTGCTATACCTGAGGCCACCATTGTAGCCATTGTGTCAATCCATCTCGATGAGGGCTTTCCCCTTTTTTGTTGACCCTCCACTTTACCAAGCATGATATCGTTCTCCAGGGAATGGTCCCTTCTAACATGACTGATGTAGGTGAGACGAAGTCTGGCCCTTCTTGCTTCCAAGGAGCATTCCAGCTGCACTTCTTCCAGGACAGATTTGTTCTTTCTTCTGGCAGTCCTTGGTACTTTCAGCATTCTTTGCCAGAACCACAACTCAAAAGCATCAACTCTTCTTTGGTCTTCCTTATTCATTGTCCAGCTCTCACATGCATATGAGGCAATTGAAAATATCATGACTTGTGTCAGGTGCACCTTAGTCCTCAAGGAGACATCTTTGCTCTTCAGCACTTGAAAGAGGTCTTTTGCAGCAGATTTGCCCAGTGCTATGTGTCTCCTCGGAAGGAAGGTTGGGCAATCCTACTTCCGTAGTGATACTGCCTTGGAAACCCAAGGAGGGGTCGCTATGAGTCGGGGTTGACCCGACGGCACATAACAACAACAACAATATGTCATCTGATATCTTGACTGCTGCTTCCATGGGTGTTGATTATAGAACAAAGTAATATGAAGTCCTTGACAACTTGAATCTTTTCTCCATTTGTCGTGAGGCTGCTTATTTGTCCAGTTGTGAGAATTTTTTGTTTTCTTTATATTGAGATGTAATCCAGTGATTAAAAGATTTACAGCCTTGGAAACTTTGTAGGGCAGTTCTACTCTGTGCTGGAGGGCCTCTATGAGTCAGAATGGACCCTATGGCAGTGGGTTCAGTTTGGGTTTTGCTTTCATAAAGCTTTGTAACCATGGAAACCCCACAGAGCAGTTGGAATCGGCTTGATGGCAGTCCTCCGTTAGACTCTGGACTGTGGAGGACAAGGTCTGTGGCCGACTTGCTTCCACGGCAGTGGCAATATCCAGAATAGCATCTTGGCAAAAGCAAGAAATGATAAATGGCTTTTGGGTCGTTGTTTAACTTCCCTGTGCCTCAGTTTCCTCGTTTGTAAAAGGGAGACAGTAACACAGCTACTTCCTCATGGTTCCTCATGGCGCACCGGTGAGGTGGCGCCCTAGCCAGAGCTGATTAGGAAATTTCCAGGAAGTGTGCAAGCTGGTTATTAAACACAGCAGCCCTTAAAAATTAAATTGTATAAACTTACAATTGAACAAGTTATCTTAGAAACAAAGGTAGTCAGTGCTCAAAGCTGACTAGTTCCTCATAACCTCTCTCTGTTTTACTTTTGTTTATGCTCTGGGGTTAGTCACTAGCATAGTATCTACATGCTGGAAATGCTGTATCATGGTGTGCGTCTATGAATCTTTTGCCAGCTCTGGGTTGGGTGACATCAGGCTGGTGGTGGTATTGTCAGCTACCTCCGAGTCAACTTCCGACTCATGGTGGCTCCGTGTACAACAGAACGGAACGTCACCCAGCCTGCGCCATGTTCATGATCCTTGACCTGCTCCAGCCACTGTGTGTTTTGAGCGCCGCCCAACCTGGCGTGCTCTTCCTCCAGCACTCCATCAGATGGTATTCTGCTGTGATCCAGAGGGTTTTCACTGGGCATTTTTTGGGAGTCGATGGCCAGGCCTTTCTTCCTAGTCTGTCTTAGTCTAGAAGCTCCACTGAAACCTGCCCACCATGGGTCACCTTGCCGGTATTTGAAACATGGCATAGCTTCTAGCATCCCAGCCATGTACAGGTTACCACAGTCTGACAACCTGACCTCAGCGGTGGGACATCAGGTTAAGTCATTTAAAATTGGCTGTGGTGGCAAATGCTATGGAATTAGGGTCTCTCGCACCTCCTTTGAAAACCCAAAACCAAACCCATCAGGGGTGAGTCGATTCTGACTCCTGGCAACCCCATGTGTGTGTCAGAGTGGAACTGTGCTCATAGGGTTAGTTGGCTGTCATCTTTATGAAGGCCAAGAGCCAGGCCTTTCCTTCATGGCACCTCTGGGTGGCTTCCTACCACCAACCTTTAGGTTAACCACCAAGTGCAGACAGTTTGTGTCCCCCAGTTCTTCAGCATTCATGAGCACACTCTTGGTTTGGGGGCTTAAGTGAATTCATGCACGTGCCTGGTGTGTGGTAAGCGCTGTGTTTATTGTTAATGTTTTGCGTGGCATTCACTCCCGAGCCCTGGGGCATTTTGAGGGCCACCACGGAATCTGCCAGGACTCCTGCCTGAGCAGATGGGCATCAGGCTAAGCCGCTGAGCAGCTGTGTTCTGTCTCTCTCTCTTTCCAGTCTGCCCAACCATCTGTAAGTCTCACGGCTGTACCGCGGAGGGTCTGTGCTGCCACAGCCAGTGTCTGGGCAACTGCTCCGAGCCTGATGACCCCACCAAGTGCGTGGCCTGCCGCAACTTCTACCTGGACGGCCGGTGCGTGGAGACCTGCCCGCCCCCATACTACCACTTCCAGGACTGGCGCTGCGTCAACTTCAGCTTCTGCCAGGACCTGCACAACAAATGCAAGAACTCGCGGAGGCAGGGCTGTCACCAGTACGTCATTCACAACAACAAGTGCATCCCCGAGTGCCCCTCCGGGTACACCATGAATTCCAGCAAGTGAGTCCTGGGGTGGGAGGTGGGGATGAAAAGGACAGGCCCGGGGTGACGGACGGTGCTGCTGGCCTCAGAACTGTGGGAAAGCTCCAGGTTAGTGGGTTATGAGTGAGGCATCCACGGAGGATGGGATACCTGGGTCCCTCAGTACCAGGACCAGTTGCTGTCTGCTCAGCTCTGACTCATGGTGACCCCGTGTGTGTCAGAGTGGATCTGCACATCACAGGGTTTTCAATGACTGATTTTGGGGAGTGGATTGCCAGGCCTGTCTTCCAAGGTGCCTCTGGGTGGCTGCAAACCTCCCACCTTTCAGATAGCATGTTAACTGTCTGAGCTGCCCAGAGACTCCCACATGCTTCCCTTTTGCTCTTGACCCTTAGATCAGGAGCGGGCAGACTTTTTCTCTATTGAGCCAGCAACACATATCTTCAGCTTGCAGGCCGTGGGCTGTCTGTTGCAACCACTCGAGTCTGCTGTTATAGCAAAAAATCAGCCGTAAGTAATATGGAAATAAATGGCATGTCTGTTCTAATAAAACTTTATTTACAAAAGCAGACAGTGGGCCGGATTTGGCCCGTGGGCCAGAGTTTACCAACCCCTGCTTTAGAGGACTGACAAGACTGTAGACAAATGGGTCGGTGTCATACAGTGCTCCTGTTGAAGTGTCAGGGCGGCAAGGGCAGTTTTGTTTTGCACCCCCATGTCTAGGGCAAAACTACATGAGGACTGCCCTGACCACCTTAATCACAGAGCTCCCCACTCCTTTCCAGACCTTTCCTCATCCTTGGACATGTATCTCAGGGTCCAGGCTCTTTCCTGACCTCGTCTCCTAGACTGTGAAGCTCCAGATGCCTCCGACCATGTCTTACCTTTCCGTCTCCCTGAGCACATTAGCTGCTGCCTGAACTGGCTGGCCTTGGGGGCAGTAGGGGGCTCAGTGGTAACGTTCCCACCTTCCACGCAGGAAGCCCAGGTTCAATTCTCAGCCAGTGCACCTCATGAACAGCCACCACCCATCTGTCAGTTGGGGCTCACATGTAACTAAGATTCTGAACCGGTTTCAGCAGAGCTTCCAGACTAAGACAGACTAGGAAGAAAGGTCTGGCAACCAGCTTCTGAAAATCAACCAGTAAAAATCCCATGGATCCCAGTGGTCCAGTCCACAACCAATGGTGGGGATGACACAGAACTGGGTAGTGTTTTGTTCCTTTGTGCATGGGGCCTCAGGAATTGGAGGTTGACTCAACAGCAGTAATCAGTAACAAACCAGTTGGTCAAGAAGCAAATCCCTCCCCTGGTGGCACAGTGGTTAAAGTCCTTGTCTGCTAACCAATAGGTGAGTGGTTCAAACCCACAAGCTGCCCTTCAGGAGAAAGATGAGGCAGTCTGCTTCTGTAAAGATTGACAGCTTTGGAAACTCTTTGGGGCAGTCCCACTCTGTCCTCTAGGGGCACTGTGAGTCAGAATCGACTTCACAGCAGTGGGTTCAGTTTGGGCTTTGCTTCTGTAAAGACTGATAGCCTGTGGTTCGGTTCTACTCTGTCCTCCAAGGATGCTGTGAGGGGGAATAGACTCTATGGCAGTGGGTGTGGTATGGGTTGTTCCGGGCTGGTCTCTTGGAAGTAGACTCTGAGATAGAGGTTTTCCTGCAGGGGGTGGAACGGGCAGTGTTCTTGGGAGCGGTGCCCATGAGGAGCGCGGGAAGCAGGGGTGGGTACCAGGAGATGCTGCGTTGCTGCAGCCCCCAGCAAAGCCCTTGGTCGATCCCACGATGGCCCTGTGGAGGTGTCCCAGAGTGAGGCCCAGGACAGGCCTTTATACCTGTGCACTGACCATTACTGGTTATGGCCTGCACCCCATAACCCCTCTGAGTAGAGGGTATCCCCAAGGTCGGCACTGGGCCACCAGCAGCCGGGGGAATGAGTGTCTCCAACCTAAAAGAGGGACTTGGGTGTCACGTCATTGATGGCAGTGGGGTCGTTGGTGGTGGCTGGGGATGAACAGCTTCCTCTGGCTCCGTGGCTGGCTGTCCCAAAGCCAGGAAGTGTCCCAAAGCCAGGAAGTGTCCCACCTTGTTCCAGCCATGCCCATGGGGCCTCCACCTCTGGAGAAGGAATGGGCTGTTTGCGCCTCTCCCCTCGGGAGCCACAGTGGGTGACATCTTTAATAGCATCTCATTCCTGAGACTGATGGCTCTCCACCTGGACACTGTTGACAGCTGTTGGCCTGTTCTCTGAGGGGCGTCCTGTGCACTGTGGGCTGTTGAGTGGCATCCCAGGCCTCCACCCACTCAATACCAGTTGCACACACTCCCCAACGTCATGACAGCCACAGGTGTCTCCAGACATGGCCCAGTGTCCTCTGAGGGGCAGAATCACCCCAGTTGAGACCTACTGGGTTAGGGGAATCCATGAACCCCTCTACGTCCCATAATCAGCACCTCCTGAAGTCCCACTATAGTGCCCATGCTGACATACACAAATGAAGTCAGGAGAGGGGAGAAGAGGGGAACCCAGAGGCCGGACTGTCACACCTGGGTAATTTATTCCGGTGTTGAGTGTGAACAGGGATGGAATGCAACATTTTTTTCCCGAATAATTAATGCAAGGAGTCTCTACCCTAACAGATGACATTGGGGGCTAAATCCTTCTTTGCGGTAGGGGCCGTCCTGTGCATTTTAGGGTGCGAGGCAGCATCCCTGGTCTCTGCCCACGCGATGCTGCCCGCAAAGTTGTGACAACCACAAATGTCTCTAGACATCACCCATTGTGCCTGGGGGGCAGAATCGGTCCCAGGTGAGAACCGCTGTCTTAGCCTGTGCCAGCTGCACAGGGAAGGTTCCTCAGTGCATGGCACCTGGCACACTGAACACCCGCCTGCAGGCTTGCTGCCATTGCCTCAAAACAAGACCAGCAGGTTCTTTGTTTCCCCAGAATCTCCCATGTGGTCCGGGCGCCTGTTTTCCTCAGGGCGTTAACCCTAGCGCACTGGCTTTCAAAGGAAGACCCCCTCTTCCAGATTCTTCCCAGGGCTTTGTTGCTTTTCAAAGGCCCTGCAATCAGACCGTTTCCCACCATTGGTGAGAAGCAGCAGCGTTTTCTCGCTGGCGGTGAGTCAGATTTCCACCAGTTTGTTCAAGCCCTTAGCACCTTCGAGGAGCTATTTTGGTGTCTCGGGGTCACAAGCAAGTTTAAAAATCTGTTTCCTGGTTTTTGTGTTGAGAGTTTTACACAAACAAAACAACATCAAACAAATCAGAAACAGACGCACGTCCAGGGGCCTTGCAACTGATCCGCTTACGCAGAACATCTTCCTCTTCAGCCCGAGAATTAGCCAAAGGGAGCCCATTCTGGCGGGAAATTTATGTCCCTGAGTGGGGAGGGTGGGAAGGGAAACAGCCTTTATCTTGGGCCTTGGGAACCTCTCTTCCTGGCATTTGCGAAGCCTGCAGGTACGACACGTTTTTGTCTTGTTCGCTTTTGATGAAACCCACCAAGTGGCTTTGTTGGCTAAAAATAGGCCTCTGTACATCATCTTTGCATGCCAGATGGAGCTGTGTTTTGCCAGTTTATCAGTAAGGTTGGGAAAATGATTCTGTTTCTTTTGATTCATTTCTGGCTTTTCATGTTTGAAATAATGAGCAGTTATTAACATCTGCTGGTGAGACGTTTGTTTAAAAGACGTCGGCTTTAGTGCTTGGTTCACTGGGACAACTAATAAAAGACATTAGCTTTAAATTAGAGGTGATTCTCCTTCCTGGCAACTAAAGCCAAGAAAAACACATTGCCATCAAGTGGATTCTGACGCATGGTGACCCCACCTGCTTCCTAGGAGAACTGGACTTCATAGGGATTTCAGGGGCTGTCATCTCATGGAGGTAGCTTAAAGGTTAAGCACTTGGCTGCCAAATGAGGCAGTATTTCTATGGATACTGCCTAAAGGTTGGCTACCTAGCGGCTTCACGAGAGAAAGACCTGGTGATTGGGTCCTGGAAAGATCACAGCCTACAGAAGCCTATTGGGCATTTCTACTCAGTCACTCAGGGCTGCTGTGAGGCAGAAATGCACAACAACAACTCTTTTTATGGAAGCAGATTGCCAGGCCTTTCTTCCGCAGCACCACACGGTAGATTCAACTAAGACCCTAGTGGTTCAGTGGTTAAGGTGCTTGGCTGCCAGCTGAAAGCAGTGTGAACCCACCAGCTGCTCCACGGGAGAAAGATGTGGCAGTCTGCTCCTGTGAAGATTGACAGCCTTGGAAACCCTATGAGACTGTTCTGTTCTGTCATAGGGTCCGTATGAGTTGGAATCAACTTGATGGTAGTGAGTTTGGGGTTTTAAGAAATACAGGGTCTCCTTTGGTGCCAGAGACCCTGAGTGGTGCAGAAGTCTAAGTGCTTGGCTGCTATGTGAAAGGCTGGCAGTTCGATTCTGCCTAGAGGCACTCAGAAGAAAGGCCTGGCAATCTGCTTCCGAAAGGTTTTCCATGAAAACCCTGTGGAGCATGAGCTGTACTCTGACACATGCGGGGTCGCTGTGAGTCGGAGTTGACTCGATGGCTACCGGTGCCTTTGGTGCCGCAGCTAACAGTGGCATGGCCCTTGGAGCTGCACCCCTAAGAAATTGACGGTGCCTATTGCTCCCTAATACTGGGAATCTTCCTTTACCTTGTGGAAGAGGCCAGAGTGCAGGGTGTCAATCAGGACTCATTGGGACAAGATTTTACTTTGTCAGGCTTTAAAAAAAATTTCGCCATTTTTCCTCCTCAAGTTTTCTTTTGTTTAATGGAAGACTTTAGTACTGTTACCTTGTAAAAACTGTTTTATTGTGGTAAAAGGATATGCAATGAAACATTTGCCAGTTCCTCCCTTTCCACATGTATAAACTCCACCCTCACCCCATCCATTTCCAAACTCTCCCACTCCATTAGCAGAAACCCAGCACCCCTAAACTAAGACTTCCTTTTTCCCCTCTCACCCACCCCTGGTAGCCAGCAATAAATTTTGGTCTCTGTCCACTGCCTGTTCTAGATGGTTATTGTACATGACATCAGATAATAGTTATCTTTTCGTGTCTGCCTTATTTTGCCCACCGTGATGTTTTCAGGGTTCCTCCGTGTTGTGGCATGCATCAGGACTTCACTTCTCTTTATGGCTGGCTGAGTCATACTCCATTGGGTGGGTGGACCACATTGTGTTTGTCTGAGCCTTGTCATCGTGGGGTAAAAGCGTGAGCCCCTGACTTCAGTATATATAGGGCCTGTCACCACGGAGTGATGCATAGATGTTTCTTGAGCCCAGTGTCTCTTACCTCAGGGTGGTTTGCACTCCCCGAGAACATTGGGCCATGTCTAGGGATATTTGTGGTTGTCACGCCTGGAGGATGCTACTGGCATCAAGTGAGTGGAGGCCAGGGATGCTGCTCAGCCCCGTACAGTGCACAGAACGGGCTTCCACAGAAAAGAATGTTCCAGCCCCAAGTATCGTTAGTGCTGGAGTTGGGGTGGGGGGTTTGTATCCACCACCTTGTGCCCACTCTGACCCTTTCAGCTGTGCTCTCTCTTCAGCCTGATGTGCACCCCCTGCTTGGGGCCCTGCCCCAAGGTCTGCCACCTCCTGGAGGGCGAGAAGACTATCGACTCGGTGACGTCCGCCCAGGAGCTCCGTGGGTGCACTGTGGTCAACGGGAGTCTGATCATCAACATCCGAGGAGGCAGTGAGTCCCCTGGGCGGGGGCGGGTGGCCAGGGGCCTGCTGGACTGCACTGTCCCTGGGAGCAGATAGTTGGGCACCATCACTGCATCACTGGGGGCTGTCGAGTGGATTCCGACCCATAGTGCCCCCGTGTGCTGAGTACAGCTGCCCTGTAGGGTTTTCAAGGCTGGGACCTTTTGGAAGCAGACCTCCAGGCCTGTCTCCAAGGGGCCTCTAGATGGGTTCGAACCACCGTCCTTTCACTTCACGATACAGCACTTAACCATTTGTGCTACCCAGGGACTCTGATGGCTGGGCAGAGAACATGAAACTCGCAGAGACTCTGCCTCGCTCACTGTTCTGGTTGCCTAGTGCCGCTCTGACAGGAATATACCACCAATGGGATGGCGTTAACAAATAGGAGTTTATTCTTACAATTTGGAGGCTTTGAGTCCAAGTTCAAAGTGCCAGGCTCTAGGGGCTGGGTGAAAGCCCCTCAACCTTGGGGTCCAGCTCTGCCTCCTGCTCCCGGCCCACTGGAACTAGAGGCATTTCTTCACTCAGACAGCTGCTGGCTGCTGAGGCTGAGAAGGCCAAGGTTGACAAGTAAAAAGGCACAGTCCCGATGTTACCAAACCACATGGCAGACCGTTAACTTAAGTCCACTGTAAGACCCAAGGTCGGCAAAGCATAGCGGGCTGCTGAGCAACGACATGGCTACATGCAGGGTCCAAGCGTGCCATTGGCTAGAGACCTTTCCCAAAGCTGCTTCTTATACATGGGAAGCAGACCACATCCCAAAACAGCTACTCACCTGATTGTGGTAGATCCCACCATGGAGGTGATTGCCAGTCTCATCATGGGGAATAACTACCACCAGCTGCCCAGCCACTCAACCAGGCCCAGCCAAGTTGACACACAAACATAACCACCACACTCACAGAGGTGATTTCATTCAACTGCACTGACCAGGGGTTCTCTCGTTAGTTGAAGTTAACTAAGGAGTTTGCTTCAAAACCAGAAATCCACAACCTAATCCTGGCCCCACCCCCAGAGGGTCTGCTTTTCCTTGGTGGGATTGGGAGCATCTAGGAATTTTCTTTCCTTTTCTTTTCTGGTGGTAATAATAGATATAACAAAATATTTGGCAGTTCGACAGTTTTTCCACGTCCAATTCGGAGCCATTGATTACTATCATCATGTTGTACAATCATGGCCACTCTTCATTTCCACGTTATTCCACCACCATGAACAGAAACTCAGTGCCCCAAAGCAATGTCTCCCACTTTTGCTTTCCATTCCACCCCTGGTGACCACTAACAAACTCTGTATACATTTGCCTGCTTCATATAAGTGGGATCATACCATAGATGTCCTTTTGTGGCTGACTTATGTCACTCAACAGAGTGTGCCCAAGGTTCATCCACATTGTGGGATGCGTGAGAAGTTCATTTCTCTTCATGGCTGATTCCATCATATGGATGGACCACGTACTGTTTATCCAGTCATCTGTTGACGGACACCTGGGTTGTCACCACCTTTTGGCTGTAGCGAATAATGCTGTAATGAACATTGAGCGTTCCAGGAACTTGCATTTGTAACAATCAAGCAACATGTCCTGTTGTAGGGTCCTGTAGACCATGTTTTAAGACAAACTCATTTTCAGCACAAATAAAAAAGTTTTTAAAATTTTTTTAATTCTGTTTTTTAAAAAGAAAGAGATTCTGTCACGGGCAAAAAAGCATCCTCTCTGTTTGTTTATTCTGCAAACATTTATTAAGTACACACAGTGAGCAAAGCACAGTCCTCCCTGTGGCAGAGCTTCCCAATAAACAAATGAATGGACAGTCCAAGATCAGGTAGTGGCAAAAAACCCGCCCGTCCATTTGTAATACTGTTGTGACTTGCATGCCACAGTTACGCTAGAAGCTACACAACTGGGGTTTCAGGTAGTTGCAGGCTCACCCATGGTGGACAGGTTTCAGCAGAGCTTCCAGACTAAGGCACACAGGAAGAAAGGCCTGACAAACTACCTCTGAAAATTAGCCAGTGAAAGCCCTGTGGGTCACAGCAGAATATTGGATGCAGTGCTGGAAGCTGAGTGCCCTGGTTGGAAGGCAGTCACAGTACACAGTACACAGTGGCCGCAAGCATGTGCTCAAGCCGACCGATAATCACCAAATGGCTCAGTGCTGGGCGGCATTCGGTTCCGTTGTACGTGGGGTTGCCAGAGTCACAGCTTAACTCCCCAGCAACTGTGAGCAACAACAACAGACCCCACAGTAAGGGCTTCAGTTGTGTTCTAAGCATGGCAGATTTTGAGCTGACCCCATTGAACCCATCTTCAGCCTAGATCATGACTCCAAGGAGCCCCAGTGGTGCATTGGTTAAGCACTCGGCTGCTATCTGAAAGGTTGGTGGTTTGAAACCACATAGTGGCTCCATGGGAGAAAGAGGTGGCAATCTGTTCCTGTCAAGATTACAGGCTTGGAAATCCAGTTCTACTCTGTCCTGTAGTGTTGCTATGAGTCAGAATGGACTTGGCGGCACTGGGTTTGGTTTGGGCTTTGCTTCCATAAAGATTGACAGCCTTGGAAACCCTATGGTGCAATTCTACTCTGTCCTCTAGGGGCGCTGTGAGTCAACCAAACCCACAGTAGTGGGTGTGGTTTGGACTTTGCTTCTGTAAAAGTTACAGTCTTGGAAACCCTATGGGTCAGTTCTGCTCTATCCTATAGGGTTGCTGTGAGTTGGAATCAACTCAACAGCAACAGGTTTGTCGTTTTTTTGTTTTGTTTTCTTTTGTTTTTTCCTCACTGTGGGTAATTATGGGACGATGAAAATATTTCTATAGAAACGCACTGAATATTCTCCCCTTTCTGTAGACAACCTGGCAGCTGAGCTAGAGGCCAACCTTGGTCTCATTGAAGAGATTACAGGATACCTCAAAATCCGCCGTTCCTACGCACTTGTGTCGCTTTCCTTCTTCCGGAAGTTACGTATGATTCGAGGAGAGACCCTGGAAATCGGGTACGTGTGCCCAGTTCTGGGTTTGTGGCTAGCATACTGAAGATGAATTCGGTGAATTAGAGACATTTGCAGTCAGTAGTGGTTATGGGGGTTCAGTGGTGGCGTTCTCGGCTTCCATGTGGGAGACCTGAATTTGATTCCCAGATGCTGGGCCTCCTGGGCAGCCACCACTGTCTGTCCCTGGAGGCTTGCATGTTGCTAGGCTGCTGAACAATTTCCAGGTCAAGATGAATGAGGAAGAAAGGCCTGGCAATCTATTTCCAAAAATCAGCCCACGAGAAACCCTGTGGATCCCAGTGGTCCTGTCTGCGACCAGTACTGGGGAGGGCACAGGGTCACGCAGTGTTTTGCTTCATTGTGCGTGGGTTACCTTGTGTCAGGGCAGCAACACCAACACCAACAGTTCTGAGAAGCCACATTTCAGATGCTCAAGGTCACATGGGGCTGCTGGGTTGGACAGAGCAAGTCTGTTGTTGTTGTTAGGTGCTGTCGAGTCATCTCTGACTCATAGCGACCCTATGCACAGCAGAGCAAAACACTGCCCGGTCCTGTGGCAGCCCCATGATCCTCGCTATACCTGAGCCCATCGTTGCAGCCACGGTGTCAGTCCATCTCGTTGAGCGCCTTCCCCTTTTTCGCTGACCCTCCACTTTACCGAGCATGACATCCTTCTCCAGGGAATCGTCCCTTCTGACAACATGACCAAAGTAGGTGAGACGAGGTCTGGCCATTCTCGCTTCCAAGGAGCATTCTGGCTGCAGTTCTTCCAGGACAGATCTGTTAGTCCTTTTAGCAGTCCATGGTATTCTTAGCATTCTTCACCAGCACCACAACCCAAGAGCAAGTCTAGATACTTACTTATTCCATTCATTGCATGCTGAGTAGTCCACGAATCATCAGAAAGAACAGGTCTAGGAGCTCTGGTAGCATAGTGGCTAAGTCACTTGCCTGCTAACCAGATGGCTGGCGGTTCAAACCCACCAGCCACTCCTCGGAAGGAAGGTTGGGCATTCCTACTTCCGTAGTGATACTGCCTCGGAAACCCAAGGAGGGGTCGCTATGAGTCGGGGCCGACTCGACGGCACATAACATAACAACAGTCAAATCACTGAGCTGTTCCAGAACCATCCATGGTTTCCCTCTGCCTACCGAGGAGGGTCACACATTCTCAGCCTGGGAGCTCTGGTGGCATAATGCCTAAGGCATTTGACTGCTAATCAGAAGGCTGGCAGTTCAAACCCACCAGCCACTCCTTGAAAGGAAGACTGGGCAATCTACTTCTGTAGAGATACTGCCTTGGAAATCTGGAGGAATTGGCTTTTCTCACCTTGTTTCCTTTTAGGCCAGAGTGGGTTCTCTGCTTTCTCTGTTGGGCCCACATTGCACTCAGCTGCTTCAGTTCCTTGATCCTTCCCCTCTGCGAAACCTGTATTTCAACCCATCACCATCTTACCGCTCTCTGTAAGACCGAGCTCAGACACCTTCATGGCCTTTAAGCATTCCTCCATTCCCATCTCTTCCCATTCCCCCAGTGCTTACTGAATATGTGTCAGGCATGTAGAAAGCACTGGGGTCATTGCCCTGAACAAGATGGGCCCCAGACCTGTTCCCTCTACCTTGGAGTTGGCACAGATGAGCACTGAATGACTCGATGGGTGTGTGTGTTTCCATAGGAACTACTCCTTCTATGCCCTGGACAACCAGAACCTGAGGCAGCTGTGGGACTGGAGCAAACACAACCTCTCCATCACTCAAGGGAAACTCTTCTTCCACTATAACCCCAAACTCTGCTTGTCAGAGATCCACAAAATGGAGGAAGTCTCAGGAACCAAGGGACGCCAGGAGAGAAACGACATTGCCCTGAAGACCAACGGGGATCAGGCCTCCTGTAAGTGGTGCTGTCCTGGTCCATTCACCCACGGACCAGACAACATGGCTGCCCTCCCCACACCGCCCCTGGACGGGGAGAGTCTCTGTCCCCTAGTGAGCTAAGAGAACCATGTCTGGGGAAGGCTTTCTGAAGTACTGAGGGCAGGCGTGTGCATCTTGTTCCCATGGCTACTGCACTGAGGATAGTGCCTAATACCTGGAAGGGGCCAAGAGAGCAGTGCGTGAAATGATGGGGGACTGAGGCATGAATGACTGAGTGGGTGAGTGGATGTGCAAATGAATGGCACCTACATATATATATACATCATCAGCCCCGGCGCTGAAGCTGAGGGGTTTGAAGATGAATGAATGACTGTGTCAGTTTGAGTCCTTCCGGGAGCAGATTCTAAGGTGGAGTCAGAAGTACAATCAAAGAACTGAGAGTAGAGTTTGGACAGTAAAGCAGGGGTGAGGGGGATGGGTAGGGGACCATCAGATCACAGGAATCTGGCTCTGTGAGTGGGCAGGGAGAACCTTCAGACAACAGCAGAATTGACTCTTTTGAGGTTAGTCTTGAAAGTTGGTATGCAGGAGAAAATTATGGCAGGACAAATGTTACTCTTGAAAATCCCAATAATGCACGGCCAGTTGCCTCTGGCGTCGGAGTGGAACCTGTTACTCAGTTCAGCACCCAGTGAAGTCATCGGCTGATGTTGGAGGCCTGGTTACATGGCTGTTCGCACTCACACAGGGAGAGGCAGGCTGCAACAGCAAGGGAGTGTCCGCCAATCAGCTCCCTTCTCCCAGTGGAACTGTGCGATCACTGGCTTTGGTCTGAAACCGTTTAATACTTATGCAGCCTGTTTTTAATTTGTGGGTTTTTTTTTTTTTTTTAAATACTTTTCAGGTGAAAATGAATTACTTAAGTTTTCTTACATCCGGACGTCTTTTGACAAGATCCTGCTCAGATGGGAGCCGTATTGGCCCCCCGACTTCCGGGACCTCCTAGGGTTCATGCTTTTCTACAAAGAGGCGTAAGTACAGGAGCAAGGCATTCAGGAGACCGTGACTTGAGGCCAGCCAGCATGTGTCTGCTGGGCTGCGGCTCAGGGCTTCTTCTCTGGTCTTCCTCTCTGGGCTGTTCTTCCTCAGAACAACCACTGAATACATCTCGTTGATTTCATCCTCCATCTCACATGTTGATGGTGGATGACGTCAGTAAGATCTCTTTTCTGTCAAAAGCCAGACATAGAAGCAAACGTGTTTCTTTTGAAACCCAGATTGGCTGGATTCCTGGAGGAGTATTCCATTCTGTCCCTTGTATATACAACTCAGTGTTCTTAGCAAAGGGGCTCCGTCTCCCTAGCAGCTCTGAGTAGATGACTGAGTTGGAATTTGAAGACAGGTAGTGAGTGGTCAGGAACAGGCACTGGTGGTTCAGTGGTAGAATTCTCACCTTCCAGCTGGGAGACCCGGGTTCTATTCCCGCCCAATGTCCCTTGTGTGCGATCACCACCCGTGTGTCCCTGGGGGCCTGTGTGCTGTTGCTAGGATGCTAATAGGTTTCAGCAGAGTTTCCAGAGTGAGGGAGACTAGGAAGAAAGGCCTGGAGATCTCCTTCTGAGAATCAGCCAATGAAGACCCTGTGGTCGGATCCACTGCTGAGCGTGGGGAAGGCGCAGGACTGGGGAGCGTTTCGTTCTATTGTACATGAGGTCGCTGGGAGTTAGGGGCCGACTTGCAGCGGCTAACAACAGTGTGGTCCCGGTGGTGAAGCCAGTGGTAATCATGCTATTTCCATCTCAAGGTTTATTACATGGCAGGCCATGAGCTGAGAAGTCATACGTTTTCTCTCATGGGATCTAACCAATAACTCGGGGTTTTTGCTGCTCTTATAGTTGTTGTTGCTGTTGTTGTTATAGGGAAATTGAGACTAAGGGTGGCTGTTGCTTTCTCTAAAGAGCTCTGATGCCTTATTGGTTAAGCATTTGCCTGCTAAGCAAAAGGCCAGCAGTTCAAACCCACCAGCCCCTGGAAAGATGTGGCAGTCTGCTCATGTAAACACTGACAGCCTTGGAAACCCCATAGGACAGTTCCACTCTGTCCTCTAGGGGCACTGTGAGTCAGAATCGACTCCAGGCAGTGGGTGTGGTTTGGGCTTTGCTTCCCTGAAGACTGACAGCCTTGGAAACCCTGTGGTGCAGTTCCACTCTGTCCTCTAGTGGCGCTGTGAGTTGGAATTGATTCCATGGCATTGGGTTTGGTTTGGGCGTTTTGTCCATAAAGACTGACAGCCTCGGAAACCTTGTGGGGCAGTTCCCACTCTGTCCTCTAGGGGTGCTGTGGGTCAGTATCCACTCAGTGGCAGTGGGCGGGTCACTTTCTCTGGCTCCTCCTCTGTTGGTTTCCAGTAAGACTGGGCAGGTGACCTAAAAGTCTTCTTTAAACTAAACAATAGCTTTGCTTCACTAATGAAGAATGCCTACCTTGACCATTGTGCTCTTTTAAGAATTATCTGCATGAGATTAAATGGACAACAGCGGCTTGAAAGGTTAGATGGGAGCCTCACGGGGTAGTGAGTTTGTGTTCAGAGGAGAGGAACAACTCAGATAATGAGGGTGAGAATGGCTGCATAACTTGAAGGACATCATCAGTGTCAGTAACCATACATGTAGAAATTGTTCAATCGCTGTTTGTTCTGCTATGTATATTCTCAACAACAAAAATGACAGAGACAGATAGCTCAGGCGGGTGAGCAGAACGCGGCCCAGCGTAGCCATCTGTAAGTTGCCCCCTCAGTACCTCAGTGACTCTCTGAGTAAGGGTAACCATCTCCTTCTGTTTTGTCTTGGAAGCCCCTATCAGAATGTGACAGAGTTTGACGGGCAGGACGCCTGTGGCTCCAACAGCTGGACTGTGGTGGACATCGACCCGCCCCAGAGGTCCAACGACCCCAAGTCACAGACCCACCCCGGGTGGCTGATGCGTGGTCTCAAGCCCTGGACCCAGTACGCCATCTTTGTCAAGACCTTGGTCACCTTTTCTGATGAGCGGCGGACCTACGGGGCTAAGAGTGACATCATCTATGTGCAGACAGATGCCACCAGTAAGTGTTGTGAATCTGAACTTGGGCCTGGGTCAGGCATCTCACAGTTGACAAGCTAACACAGCAATGTCACGTCAGACATTCTTTTGTGTGGTTGTCACTGCTATAGGAGCGAGGCTCTGAGGGTTATATTTTCAGATTAAGCAGTAGCAGCTAGTCTCCTGAGGGAAATATTTTTTCCTTCCTATGGGTCCCTGAAGGAACTCTGGCAGTACAGTGGTTAAAGCTTTGGGCTGCTAACCAGGTTTCCAGTTCAAACTCACAAGCCACTCCATGGTAGAAAGATGAGGCAGCCTGCTCCTGTAAAGATTGTTGTTGTTGTTGTTATTTGCCATCGAGTCGGCCCCAACTCATAGCGACCCCTCCTTGGGTTTCCGAGGCAGTATCACTACGGAAGTAGGATTGCCCAACCTTCCTTCCGAGGAGTGGCTGGTGGGTTTGAACCGCCAGCCTTCTGGTTAGCAGTCAAGTGCCTTAGGCACTATGCTACCAGAGCTCCTCCTGTAAAGAGTAGAGCCTTGGAAACCTTATGAGGCAGTTCTTCTCTGTCCACTAGGGGCGCTGTGAGTCAGAATCTAGTGTATGGCAGGGGGTGTGGTTTGGGCTTTGCTCCTGTAAAGACTGACAGCCTTGGAAGCCCTATGGGGCAGTTCTACTTTGTCCTATAGGGGCACTGTGACTTGGAATCAACTCAGTGGCTGTGGGTTTGGTTTGGGCTTTGCTTCTGTAGGGATTACATCCTTGGAAACGTTATGGGGCAGTTCCACTCTGTCCTCTAGGGGCGCTGTGAGTCAGAATCGACTCCACGGCAGTGGATGTGGTTTGGGTGTGGAGGCTCCCTGGGTGGCACAAATAGTTAAGTGCTCAACTACTAAGCTAAAGGTCAGTGCTTGAACCCACCCAGAGGCACCTCAGAAGAAAGACCTGGCAGTCTGCTTCTGAAAGGTCACAGCCGTGAAAACCTGAGGGAGCACAGTTCTACCCTGATGCATGGGAGGGGGTTACCATGAGTTGGAGTTGACTCAATAGCAAATGGCTGGATATTTGGGTTTTATTACAGAAAGTGGGAAGAACAGTGGTCCCCCATGTAACCATCACCCAGCCTCAGAAATCATCAAGATTTTGCTGTGTTTTGTTCCCTGCACCCACCCACCCCCACATTTTTTGGCTGGCATATTTCATAGCAATTTATTTATACTTTTATAAAGACTTACTCCTCCTAGGTGGGAACTCTGGTGGCATAGTGCCTAAGGCACTTGACTGCTAACCAGAAGGCTGGTGGTTCAAAGCCACCAGCTACTTCCTTGGAAGGAAGGTTGGGCAATCTACTTCCATAGTGATACTGCCTCGGAAACCCAAGGAGCGGTTGCTATAAGTCGGATCTGACTCGATGGCAGTGAGTTTGGGTTTTTTTTTTTTTTTTGGTTAATCTTCCTAGAGCAGCAGTCCTCAACAGGAGCAGTTTAGCCCCTAAGGAGACACATGATGATGTCGGGAGACATTTGTGGATGTCAGGACTTGAAGGGTGCTACTGGCATCAAGTAGTTAGAGGCCAGGGATGCTGCTGAACACCCAACAGTTATAGGATGACACCCACCACAGAGAATGATCCAGCCCTTAGGTCAACAGTAAGGAGACCTGGTGGCACAGTGGTTAAAGTACTTGGCTGCCCACCAAAAAGTCGGTGGTTTGAAACCATCTTCTATGGGAGAAAGATGAAACAGTCTACTTCTATAAGGATTTATAGCCTTGGAAATCCTATGGGGCAGTTCTTCTCTGCCCTGTAGAGTCTTTGTGAATCGGAATTGAGACGATAGCAGTGGATTTGGTTTGGTTTTGGTGTTCAGTACAGGAGCCCTGGTGGTATAGTGGTTAAAAAGCACTTGGCTGCTACCCGAAAGGTCAAAATTTGAACCCACCAGCCACTCTGTAGGAGAAAGATGAGGCAGTCGGGTTCTGTACAGATTTATAGCCCTGGGAACCCTATGGGGGCAGTTCTACTCTGTCCTCTAGAGGCATTGTGAGTCAGAATCAGCTTAATAGCAATGGGTTTAATGTCAATAATTTTGAAGCTGTAAAACCCTCCTTGGGTTTAATTGGGAAAAAATTTGAGTTTGACCCCTGCTCACACTGTACACCAGAAGAAACTCCTAATGGGTCAGATGGCATGAGCCGTGTTGACCCTCCGGCCCCCATGACTCCCTCCTCTCTCCTTCCCACTCAGTGTGTGGGTTGAAGTGTGGGCAGCGTCCTAGGACATCAGTAAGGCAGGTGGTTAGGGGACTCGGAGTTTCTTGAGGTGTTAAGGATAATCAGAGCTCACTGAAATTTGAACATAAGGTTTGTTCTAAGCAGTTATTCTACATGTATATAAAACCAAACTCACTGCCAATAAGGCAATTCTGATTTATAGTGACCCTGTATGAAAAATAGAACTGCCCCATTGGGTTTCCAAGGCTGTCATCTTTATGGAAGCAGACCACTTCATCTTTCTCCTGTGGAGTAGCTGGTGGGTTTGAACCACCAACCTTTTGGTTAGAAGCCGAGTGTTTTAACTACTACTGATCCACCAGGGCTCCTCGACAAAGGATTATCCAGCCCCAAATGTCAATAGTGTGAGACAGAGAACCCCTTTCCTATAGGGGACAGTCTGAACTTGATGACTGGGTCCCCATCCTGAGTCCCCCACCACCAGAGAACTTATGGTTTCCAGAACCTTCCGGCTCCCAGGCCTCAGCGCACTGTGCTCTATGCCCCGGCAGTCCCAGCGCTACCCCTCAACAACCTCCCTGACTGTCTCCACTCTTGAGAAGATCCTGTGGAGCCCGAGGCAGTGTGTTTGGGGGACTTGAATGGATGACCAGCTCAGGGACAGGAATGAATACGGATGGCATCAAGCTGCCCAAGTTTGTCCTGTCACTGGGTTCACTTTGAGACAAGCGTTAACCGAACAGTGTGAGTTTGTCTCTTTCCACCATCCGCCCTCCCCTCGGGGTCTTCCCAGGGCCTAGAACTGAGAGAGCTTAACATGCCGTTGTTGTTGGGTACCCTCGAGTCAACAGTGACCAGGTGGGACAATGTGGAACTGCCCCACAGGGTTTTCTGGGCTGTCTTCCTTGTGGGAGCAGCTTATCTGGTTCAAACAGCCAACCTTTCTGTTGGCAGCCGAGCATTCAGCTGTTGCACCACCAGGACTCCCGCTTGCCACACAGCTCAGTCATCTGTGGTACAAGGGGACTGTCATTTGGTAGCCTGTCGCTTACTGGGGGAGCCTCCCACGTGTCTGCCTCTCGCCCCAGTTTTAACACTGCGGTGAATATCCCCATGATGTCCTTCCCGTGTGTGCTGACCACCCAGCAGCCCATACTCAGCCTCACAGTGGACCTCTCTCCTTTCTCTTTCCAGATCCTTCCGTCCCTCTGGATCCGATCTCGGTCTCTAATTCTTCCTCCCAGATTATTTTGAAATGGAAACCCCCCTCGGACCCCAATGGCAACATCACTCACTACCTGGTTTTCTGGGAGAGGCAGGCTGAAGATAGTGAGCTGTATGAGTTGGATTATTGCCTCAAAGGTGAGCGCAGGCAGGTGTGCTGGGAGCGGCTGGTGCCACACGCCTGCTGTCCATTTTGCTACCCTGCCAGGGAAGCATGTACCTCCTGGCCCAGTCTGTGGCCATGCATGCGCCCACATGCACACACACCCATGTGTGCACACACACGTACACAGCATTCTGTCTCCTACGGAAACCCACACACATGGACACACCATTCTATCGCATATGAAAATACATACACATGTGCAGACACCATTCTGTCTCCTACAAGCACACACACATGTACACACCATTCTGTCTCCTACGAAAATACATACACACACTTAAACACACTATTCTGTCTCCTATGGAAACACACACGTGTACATGCCATCTGTCTCCTATGAAAACCCACACAGGTGTACACAGCATTCTATCTCATACAAAGATACATATACACAGTTAAACACACTATTCTGTCTCGTATGAAAACACACATGTGCACATACCATTGTGTCTCGTATGAAAACACACACATGTACACACCATCTGTCTCATACAAACACACACATGTGCACATGCAACCCTGTCTCATGCGGTACACACACGTGCACACACCACTCTTTCTCCTACAAACACGTTTCTAAACATCTTACACACCCTGCACATGTGTCCAGACCAGACATGCCCTGTGCCCTGGCTCGATCTCCCTCTGGGGTTTTTCCTCCTCTCCTCTCCTCCCCTCTCCTCTCCCTGCAGCCCTTCCGCTCTCCCTGCCCCTCCTCCTCTCTCTTTCTTCCTCTCCCTCCTTTTCCCCTCACCTCCTCCACACTTCTGTGGACGTAGCTGAGTTAACCCACCAGGGCTTCTGTGCAAAAGCTAGAAACACACGTGAGAGTGTGGAGACGTCACTGACAAAGTCAGAAGGGCTCAGGCCCCATTGAGACCTTTCCTTTTGAGATGAGCCAGTGGTGGTTCAGGGATGGGATTCTCGCCTCCCACGTGGGAGACCCAGGTTCCATTCCCGGCCAGGGCACTTCACCCCCAGCCACCACCTGTGCGTCCATGGAGGGCTGCGTGTTGCTAGGATGCTGAACACGTTTCCTAAGACAGACTAGGAAGAAAGGGCTGGACATCTGCTTCTAAAAATCAGCCTGCGACAGCTGTATGTGTCACAGTGGTCTAGTCCGTCCACAGCCAATCGTGGGGACGGCGCAGGCCGTGTGGCATTCGTTCTGTTGTGCACGGGGTGTCTGTGAGTCAGGGGCCAAGTGGACAGCAGTTCATAGCAACTCTCATACTACAGATGCCAGAAAGGGATAAAAGGCATCAGGAAGCAAGGCAGTGCCCCACAAACACCCCTTCCTCTGCAGGAAAATGCAGGCGTCTCCTGTCCCAAGCAAATCCTACCTTACTGTTTTTTTTTCTCTCTTCAGTCCATAATGCCATAACTATGTAGCCCTCTCCCAGGCAACCCAGCAAGCTGTTCTGCATCCGGTAATAAACTTCAGAGTCCCTGGGGGGTTCAGACGGTTAACACACTCAGCTGCCAACCTACAGGTTGGAGGTTTGGACCAACCCAGAGGTGCCTTGGAAGAAAGGCCTGGTGATTATTTAAAAAAAAAAAAAAATCCGCCAGGCGAACCCTGTGGGGCAGAGCTGTGCTCTGGGCATTTGGGGACTGTGGAGCAGCATCCTGGGTTTCCACCCACTCGATGCCTTTAGCTCCCCCGTCCCCTGACTTGTGACACTCAACATGTCTCCAGGCATTGCCCAGTGTCCCCCCCGCGGTGAGAAATCACCCCAGGTGAGAGCCACTGTGTTAGCTTGACTTACGGATTCATGGATAGACCTTCAGCTCTTTCACTGATGCCGCAGGTTTATAGGTCAGACCCCTTAGAATTCCACGTGAAATTCTCTGCTCTGCCCTCCTGTCACTTTATATTTGTGTGGCCAGTTGATTGACTGTCCCATTCATTCATTCATTCATTCATTCATTCAGCTGTGACTTGGCCCACCCCCACTCAGGCCCTCACTCCCTTCTGGCCACACTGGGCCTTTTTGTACCTGGGCATGCCAGGAAAATTCCCACCTCAGGACCTTTGTGATTGCTTTCGGCTCTGCCTGAATTGCCTTCCCCTAAGATAGCTCGGAAACCCAAGGAGGGGTCGCTATAAGTCGAGTCTGACTTGACAGCATGTAACAACAACACAACAAGATAGCTGCATAGTGACCCCCTTTGGGTTTCCAAGGTGGTAAATCTTTATGGAAGTAGATTGCCCAATCTTCCTTCTGAGGAGTGGCTGATGGGTTTGAACATCCAGCCTTCTGGTTAGCAGTCAAACACCTTAGGCACTATGCCACCAGGGCTCCTTGGAAGATAGCTGCAAGGAGTCTTGGTGGCTCAATAGTTAAGCACTAGCTGTTAACCAAGAAGTCAGCGGTTTTACAGGAGAATGGACCTGATGGTCTGCCCCCATGAAGATTACAGCCTGGGAGACCCTCTGGGGCAGCTCTACTCTGCACACCAGGAATTGGTATTGACTTGACAATACCTAACAAACAAGAAGCAGCAATAGGATATATGCAGGGCTCATTCCTTGACTTAATGTCAGCATTGCTCAAAGGTCTTTTTCTACAAGACAGAACAAACAAACACACAACAGTTACTGTTGAGTTGATCTGACCTATGGCGACCCCAAGTGTGCAGAGTAGAACTGCTTTATAGAGTTTCCAAGCCCGTGACCTTTTGGAGGCAGATTGCCAGGCCTTTCCTCCGAGGTGCCTCTGAATGGGTTCAAACCACCAACCTTTTGTTTAGTAGTTGAGTGCTTAACCATTTATACAACCCAGGGCTGGCTTCACTTCTCCAAGACAACTCCATAAAAAAATAACACCTCCAGACACCGTCTATCCATTTACTGCACTGTTTGGGTTACCTACTGCTGCTCTGACAGGAATAGACCACAGATGGGATGGCTTAACAAACGGGAGTTTATTCTCTTACACTTTTGGAGGCTAAAGTCTGAGTTCAAAGTGCCAGCCTCTAGGGGCTAAATGAAAGCCACTTGACCTTGGGCTTCAGCTCTGCCTCCCACTCCTGGCCCACTGAAGCTGGAGGCATCTCTTCACACACAGGCAGCTGCTGGCTGCTGAGGCTGACAGACCCAAAGCCAACAAGTAAAAAGGCACAGGTCCCGATGTTACCAAACCACACCGCAGGCCGTTGATTCAAGTCCAGTGAAACTCCCAGGATCGGCAGGGCATGGCAGGCTGCTGAACAACGACTCAGCTACATGTAGGATTCAAGCGTGCTACATGCTGGAGACCTTCCTCAAAGCTTCCCCTTACGTACTGGAAGCAACCCACATCCCTAAAGCAGCTTATCCAGTAGATTCCACCATGGAGTTAATTACCAATCTCGCTATGGGGAATAACTGCATCCAACTGCCCAGCCACTCAACCAGGCCCAGCCAAATTAACACACAACCTCAACTACCACACCTGCTTTGAAGCATGCACCACCATCTGAACAATGGCATATATATTTATAAATATACTGTGTACCCCCTATTCTCCCCACTAGAATGTAAGTTCCACCAGGGCAGGGAATTATCTGAGTCCTTTAAGTCCCATGGGGTCACGGTGTCTGATATTTTACAGAACACTGATCCGCCTTTTCTCGGTTGAAGCTCACAGAACTCTTTTTTTTTTAATTGTGATTTGAGTGAAAATTTACAGAACAAATTCACTTTCCATACAACAGTTCATATACATTTTGCCTCATGACATTGATCACAATTTACCACAGTATAACAGCTCCCCTCCCACTTCCTCCCCATAGTTACCTCTTCCCTGTGTCCATCCCTCCATGCACTCCTGCCCCCTGAGCTGTCTCCCTGTGCATGAGCAGCCCTTCTTTCTCCCATGATTGCTCTCTCCAAGGAGTGTATCTACCTGAGGTAAATGTTCAACTCATATGCCTGTCTATTGTTTGCCTGGAAGCCACAGGTGTGGGTTCAATTTCAGACCTGAAGGGCAGCTAGGGGCCATAGTCTCAGTGGTTCCACCAGGCTCTATCGGACCAGCAAACCAGGCCCCCACCCCATGAAGCTCACAGAACTCTTGAGAGGGAGGTTTTCATTTTTGCGGTAGAGCTTAATCCCGGTCCCCTGCCCTGGCTCTGTCCCTTGCTGTTGGTTGCTATCAAGGCGGCCCCTGATTCACGACAACCCCACGCACAGTGGATCAAAAAAATGTCTGGTCCTGCACTGTCTTCCTCATCGGCCGCAGAGGGACCATTGTCACCCATAGCATTTTCATGGGCTGATTATTAGGACTAGATCACCAGACCTTTCTTCCTGGTCTGTTTGAGACCAGAAGCTCCAATGACTGACAGGTGGTGGGTGCACATGAGATGCATTGGGTGAGCATTAAACCCAGGTTTCCTACATGGAAGGAGAAGAATCTGCCAGCAAGCCGCCACTTTGCCCTCTGTCTCTTGTGAGTGGCCCCTCTCTGTGTGACAGCCCCCTCTGGTTTGTGTGTGTGTGTGCTGGGTTGGGGGGCAGGGAGACTCGAGCCCCCACACTGCCTCCCTGCAGGGCTGAAGCTGCCCTCCCGGACCTGGTCTCCACCGTTCGAGTCCGAGGACTCTCAGAAACACAATCAGACGGACTACGAGGAGTCGGCCGGCGAATGCTGCTCCTGCCCCAAGACCGACTCTCAGATTCTGAAGGAGCTGGAGGAGTCCTCGTTCCGGAAGACATTTGAGGACTACCTGCACAATGTGGTTTTTGTCCCCAGGTTGGACTGCTTGCGGGTGCCTATGGCTTGGTGTTGGGGGGCATGGGCAGTACTTAGAAAACACAATGAAGTGGGGACCCTGAGCCACAGGGGCGTGGATGGAGCCTCTTCCTTGGAGAGAGAGCAAGATCTTGAAATTCAATAAGAAACTTACCAGGAAAAGCAAATAATCAAAGGAGGGAAAAAATCTAAGGCATTCTTTTAAGGCCCAACGTATGCGTTTTCCTCTGTCCCCTAGATCATTGCCCTACCTCCAGGTTTCATCTGAGTTCTAAAATGAACTCAGTTGGCGGTGGCCAGCCCTGAGAAATGTCTGCCTGCCCCCTCTTTGATTATCACAAGTCCAGACTCAGTGCGGTCAGCCCATTTGCTTTAGCCAGACTGGCTCCTTTCATCCTTCGTGGAGTAGTCACAGCATCATCAAAAGCCCGAGGCCGTCCCTGCTCACCTCGGTTGCGTTTCCTTCAGCTCGTGAAGGGACTTGCTGGTCTTGGAGAGGGTTTGCAGCTGCAGTCAGGGTTCTCTCCAGCTCGTCTTGCTCGCTGCCTCAACTGTGTAGACCCGTGCAGGGGGCCGAGCTCACCCCCTGATGCCAAACGTGTGGTGGCTGGTGCTACAGGCCACGGAGGTGGCATCTTTTGACCTCCTCTGACTTCACAAGAGGAAGACAGAATGACCATCAGCAGCCGCAGGCTGATTGCTGTGAGGCCAGACGTCCCGCCACCCTCCAGCCTTTTTAACCAACTCTGACACCAGCCGTTCCCTCCCACAGCACTCACTGCTTTGCTGCTGCGTTTGATAATTCGTTGCAATGGCCACACAGAACTCACAGACAATGCTCATGATTATGGGGTTTATCAGGGAAGTAGAAGGGTACAATTCAGCCTCAGGAAAGTGCTCAGGATACAATTCTTCAATCAGGATAGTCTCCCCTCTGCTGTGCCCTCAGACACGCCTCTTTGGCCCTTAGCCTCGCAGCTTGGCCTCTGCCCTGCTCAGGCAGGTGTTACAAAGCTCTTTTAGCTCTGCCAGTAGGTACACGTAGGTGCACCCCACTCCGTCAGTAAGCCTTCTGCCCAGGGACACTCAGCTTTCTTGTCTGTGGGCTAAGCCCACCACTCTTGTCTCATGCCTCTTGGGTCCACTGCCGCTGTCTCTCTGCCAGGGGTCTCTCAGCCAGGACATCTCTCTCTGCCAGGGGTCTCTCAGCCAGGACATCTCTCTCTGCCAGGCGGTCTCTCTGCCAGGACATCTCTCTCTGCCAGACATCTCTCTCTGCCAGGGGTCTCTCTGCCAGGATATCTCTCTCTGCCAGGGTGTCTCTCTCTGCTGGGTGTCTCTCAGCCAGGGAGGTCCAGTGCAGGGATCTAGGGTCCAAGGACACGGTTCACTTCACCTCCAGCTCTTCTCTCTTGGTGGCACTGAGATCCCCTCTCTGCCTCTAGAAGGACTCATTTTAAGCCTGGCAGAGTGACAAAACTAACCAATCCCAACATCACACCTTATTTGCATGGTCCCATCCATTAATCTGGTGGGAGTTACAAAGACTATGGCTAGAAAAACCACACCAAGTAATTCACTGCACCACAGATGGTAAGTCCCTTCTGCACACAGCTGGGTCCTGGGGGATCTCAGCTCCCTCCCCCAGTCAGTCCAGACCCCCGCTGCCAGCACAGAGCTCTTTCTCATCCCCATTCACCCCAGGCTGAGTCAGCAGGCACCACTCCCCATCCCCATTCACCCAGGTCATCAGGCACCAGCCCCTTCTTTCTCTTATCTCCTTTTAGCCAGGGACCAGCTCAGTGGTCACTGGCCCCTTCTTTCTCTTTCACCCTCATCCCCATTCACTTGGGGCCAAGTTAGCAGATATCAGACCCTTCTCTCTCTCACCCCCACTCACCCAGGACCAGGTGAGTGGATACCAGCCCTTTCTCTCTTTCTTAGGTCTAGAAGCTCCTAGCAATGGCTCACAAACTCCAGAGAAAGGGCAGTATTTAATCTAGCAGGAAAAAGGATATGAACACACAGGATGAGGCCCAGGAAGGGGCTCAGTGCAGAGCACCCACGCCATCAGGCGATACACTTACCTTCCTGGAAGTAAGCCCCACTTACCCTCCCAGGAAGCCCCACTGAGCCTCCGTCTTCCAAAGCTTTCATTGGCCTCCTCACATGGCATCCCGTGGTCAGCATCAGCCTACAGGTGGTCTCTCATGGTCTGGTCAACCGCCACTCATTGGCTTTGGGTATGGTCAGCTCAGGAACCAGGACCAAGGGCCAAACAGGCCCTTGACCTTGCAGCAGTAAAAGTGACTCTGGGCTTTCATTTAATCTATTCTTAACCATTCCTGCCAGCAAAGACTCTTAGGTCAAAAGCAAGTTCCTGTAGGTCGATTCAGGACATTTGTGGCTACAGGTTAGATAGGACCTTCCAACACACGTTTTTCTGCAGGGTCCGCCTTCAGAGTCCTTGTTCCCAAACACAGGTGTGTGGAGCTGCGGGTGTGATGTGCCTGATGCTGGGCTGTGTGCTTTAGTGCCCAGGGGGCAGAACAGGGGAGCAGTGAATAGTGGGACTCAGAAGATGGACCTGCATTCCAGCTTCTGCCCTCCTCCATACAGCTTGGGCACATGGCTCAGGTACCTAGTGCTGCTATAACAGAAACACCACAGGGCATGGCTTTAACAGGCACAATCTTGTTCTCTCAGTTAGGCTAGAAGTCTGAATTCAGGGCACCAGGTCTAGGGGAAAGCTCGCTGTCTGTTGGCTCTGGGGGAAGTTCCTTGTCCCCTTTCAACATCTCTGGGCCCTGTGTTCCATGGAGATCTCCATGTGTCTTGGCATCCACCTTCCCTTGGGTCTAGGAGGTTCTCAGCACAGGGACCCTGGGTCCAAAGGACACCCTGTGCTCCCAGCTCTTCTTTCTTAGTAGTAGGAGTAGGGTCCCTCCTTCTCTGCTTTCTTCTATCTCCTTTTGTCTCTGATAACATAAAAGGGGATGAGAGCTACACTCCAGGAAAACTCCTTTTATACCTGATCAGGGCTGTGACTGGAGTAAAGGTGTTGCATCCCACACTAACCCCCTTACAACTGATTGGCTGATCAAATCAGATCACATCACGGGAGATGATGACACCGTTACATAACCAAACCTAAAAATCATGGCCCAGCCAGGCTGAAGCATATTTTAGGGGGACATGATACAGTCCCTGCCAGCCATTCACCTCACCTCTCTGTGCCTCAGTGTGCTCATCTGTAAAATGGGCATAGTGACAGGTCTTGTCTCTGAGGGTTATTGGGAGGTTAAATGAGTTGCATATGGATTCTTA